ACTTTATAGAATTTTTGGAAAAAAATCATGAAGATACTGCATGAATAATGCTTAACACAATTTCTGACACGTAGTAAGCATCTCATGATTAGTATCTAGTAGAAGGAGTGGAACCCTAATTTAAGGAGGTGACGTGGAGATCGAGAAGGGTCAAATTTGAGAGATGCTGAAATTTAGTGACCAACCAAATGTACTCAGGGACAGACGGGAGATCGCCAAAGCTATGATTTCTGTCTGAGGTGATAGGATATAGGTATACTGGCAACGGAGCTAGAGGGAGGCAGGGGGGAGGGATTCCTTTATAAGAAACGAGTGGGAAAAGAGAACAAGACTGGAGTTAGACACGTTGAACTTGAAGCATCTGTTAAAATGTGCAGATGAGGCCTCAAAGAGGTGAGGGTCTGAGACATAGTGATAGTTGGAACCGTGGGAAGGAATAAGGTTTCTTAGATCAAATGCACAGATGAACACCACGAAGAGGCTGACATTTCGTTTACCTGGCATACAAAAATGTTCTTATTAGCCTGTAGAGACTCTAGCATAAGAAGTACTAGGTTTTGGTGTCTGACAAGTGGTGAAATAGAAAAAAATTCTCTAGGAGTTGGGACCAGAGCTCAGGATAGGAACCTCACCCCAGGGAAGATCTCTTGGAAATGTGAAGCAGAGGGAGGGTGTTCCCAGGCCTGATCTCAGCGTGCGTGCGGGCTCGTGCATTTTAGTGTTTGCTGCAATTACGTACTGTCTCTGAGGGGCCTCATGTGGAGGTAGGAATGGAGGTCCCATGAGAGGTATTTTTTGAAGTTGGGTGGTTAGCCACGTCTGTTTCGGATTTAATTCAGTCATGAGTAAGGGATAGGAAACAGTCCCAAATCCTCTAGAGAAGGGGCTGGTATTGTGGCCCAGGCAAGCAGGCTGGAGCTCAGAGTAAGCATCAGTCCTAGCTGGACACATGGTTTGCAAATCAGAAGGAAACAGTCCAAGATAAACACAGATTAAGCGAAAGAGATGCTGCTTGGTGGGTGTAAGGAAGCAAAGCCCTTACCTGGAATTCAGGGCTTGGGCCGGAAGAGCAACTCCAGACCCCACCCTCCAGTGGGAATGGGGTTCCTAATAGGCAGGGCCAGGGGAGGCTCAAGAATTGGGTGGCACTCCTCCTGGAGCTCCAGCTTCACAGAGCTAAAGCAGAGACAGGCATTTTCAGCGTTCTCTTTTAACTCTTTACTTTTATTTTCCTCAAAGGTCCAATACACTGGCATTTCCTTGAAGTTTCTAGTCCTTTCCTCTCCCGTTGTCCGGCTCTGTCCTTAGCTTACGGTCCCAAGGTCCCGTTACACCTGCACGTGTGTACACATGGTTACCCTCCATTTTCTGATTCCCAGGAGGTGCACACGTGTTTGTGCCGTGAGGAGCACACCCCGGGCATCATCACTGTGCAACTCCTCATTACCCGTTCTAACATTCTCGTGCAGTCTTGCCCATCCTGCACTATACGCATTCAGCACCTCCTGTCCGGGCATCTGTGCTCACCAAGCTCTAGGTTCACAGCTTCACCAGAAGTTAGCAGACTGTTCTTGATGGCAGCAGCCACAGTACATTTACTGAGTGCCCACTGTATACCATATTATCCTGAGTGCTTAGGTTAAATGTTCATGTAACCCTCGGTGAGCTCCATAAGGTAGTTACAATTTTTATGTACCGATGAGGAAATATTCACCAGTGAGGAGAGTGGAACTCGTGAGTTGAGAAATTTGCCTTCAGTCATGCAGCTACGAAGTGGTAAAGCTTGGAATCTACTTTAGTGTTAGCTCCCAATTCCATGCCTTTAACTCTCACATTATAAAAAGGCAGACATTTCTGACTCTCTATTCCTTATTTTTGCGAGCACGACTTTATATTATATGTCATGGAACAAGCTGAGAACCAACGAACTTCCATTAATAATTAGGATAGTCCAAGGCCGCCCGGGTGGCTCGGTTACTTGAGCCGGCTCATGATTTCAACTCAGATCGTATCTCCGGGTTGTGAGATCCAGCCCCACGTTGGGTTCCGTGCTGGGTGTGGAGCTTCTTTGAGATTCCCTCTCTCCCTCTGCCCCTTCCTGCTCCCTTTCTTAAATTGAGGGAGTCCAGTGGCTTGGTCAAGCAGCTAATCTCATTAACAGAGGACAGAGCTGGGAAGGAGGTTATTGTTAGTACTCCCCTAATGAGCAAAACCCCACGCTTAACTGTCAAAAAAAGTCCCCCGGTGAAACAAAACAAACAGAAAACCCTACAACACTTTTATTTAGCACCTGCCTCCTTTGCTGGTTTTATTTATCCTACAAAGACTAGGAAATGGGATTTTCCAGGTATAGCCTGGACAGGTAGCAGAGAAGAAAGGTGGTGTGGTCAAGTACAAAGCGTTGTACTGGGAACGATGTCTGTGATTGGCTCTCCAGCCTCAACCACGGCTAGCTGGTCTCTTCCCCTCTGTCCCTTTTCTGTTACCTGCAAAACTGGAGTGCGAATAAGGATTTGGAGAAGAATGACAAAGTTAAGAACTAATGCAATAGAATTTAAGGCGAAACTGTAAAGAAATTTATTTTCCCAATCCAGCTCTGTGACTTAGGGAGCAGTGGAATGAACCACATCAATATTTGGGGGGTGGTGGAAGGAAACAATGGAGCCTACAAATGGGGGTTCTTCAGTGAGCTTCCAGAGAGGAATGATTTGCCCCTTGATGGGGCTGATCTGCATATTCTGACTGTATTCAAACCTGTTGGTGGTGAATGTTCATGGAGATTCGGGAGCCTTGGTGTGGGAGGTGAGAGGAAAGGCAGGAAACAGGAAGGAGGATTCGTGAGTACTGGGCATGGTCACGGGGCTGCTCCAGGGTCTTCTCCCTGCGAGCTGTTTGTTTACAACCCTGTGAGTAAGGATTATGAGGCTCCTAAAGGTCTCATGGCTACTGGATGGCCAGATGGGACTCAAAGCCCTATCTATGTGATTCCAGTGCTATTTTACTATATTGTGCTACCTCTGACACATTTAACTGGTTTTCTCTACAAAATTCTAGAAATTTCCACAGTAATGACTATTACCATGTGCATGCATTCCTTCATTTATTCTAGGATACCTGGTAGGTTCAAAAACTAAGATTTGGTAAATCTCAAATACTCGCACTTCCTAATTCCGCAGAACACAGAAACTGTTTTCTCTCCAGAAGCATTAGAACATAGGAGACGTTCATAAATAAATGTATGTTTGAACCATAAGAGTGAGTGTGTTTGCAGAAGGTCATTTTGAACACTGGCAGTGATAAAGGATGGAAGGCACCCCAAGGAAACGAGTCCTTCCTTGTGTGTCTCAAGTCCACTGTAATTCTAGGTTGAAATGTTCTGTCTCAAGCTTCCTGAAGCTGACTTGGCAGGCTCCTGAATTTAATTCAGAACCTCTTTACCGTGTCTTTCTATCCATATTCCTTTTTTCTGCCTCTCATCATCATTCTCTTTCTGCTTCTAATGTCAGATCAAGCTAGAAACTCTTGACTCTCCCATCCAACTGAGAAAGTTAAGTTCTCTTTGCTTGGAATTTCTAGATCTCACCATTGAGTTAATAGAGAGCTTTTGCCTCTCAAACACTCCCCTGGTCTGCCATTCACTGAAATGTCCCTCTTTCTTGGACACCAGGCCTCAGGTTGGATCTTTTCACCACTTAAACTTCTCATCTGCTTTCTAGCATTTTTTTCCTCACTTTTTTTTTTCTTGATTACCGTTCAAAGCTTTTGAACTTAGTCTACTGCTTTTGATCAGAAAAGTCTTCATTTCTCTTAAAGCTTTCGTTTTCCCTTCATCTCTGTCCCCTTTGCTTGGTTATCAGCTGGAAGGGAAGTCACTTCTCCTGAAGTCATACTTCCCAGCCTCATGGTCTTTATTTATCAAATATTTGTTGAGTACTTACGGGCTTCACAAGCTGGGACCACGACATAAGACACATTTCTTACCTGACAACTCTGTTAGGGGTGACAGGCATGAAAATAAATACTTGCAGAGTAATTATAAGAAATCTCTAAAAGAGGATGCTGAGGTTCTGATGGCACAAAGGAGGAAGTGAGTAATGAATTAAGGGTCAGAGAAGGCCTACCGAAAGCCTTTAATCTGGGTTTTGAAAGGTGGAAAAGAATTTCCCAATGAAAGAAGTGACGAAAAAAGCATTCCAGAAACTGAGAGTATCACGTGCTAAAGACCTAGAGGTGTGAGCTAGCAAGTCCCGCTTGGGGAACCTGTTACTTGTTTGGTTATTCTTGGTGCTCAAAGAGAGATGCCACCAGAAATGAGGCTGAGGAGGTAAGAGGGATTCGACGATGGGGCACCTTCAGTGCCTTCCCAGGAAGTTTGGGTTCTATCCTGAAGGCTACGGAGGCTGAGGGAAGGGTTTTAAGAAGCTGAGCCATAGCAGTCCGATTTAGAAAGATCATCTGAACTATATAGCAAGGATGGGCAACTGTAGGTGGGGATACCAGACAAGAGATTATGGTAATACAAGTAAGAAATGAAGAGGGCGCCAACAGAAGCAATGGCGGTGAGGTCAAAGAGGAGAGAAGATAGTAAAGATATTAAGAGATCAGGTGGAGGGGCATCTGGGTGGCATCTGACTTTGGCTCAGGTCATGATCTCAAGGGACTGAGCCCCAGGTCAGGCTCCCTGTTCAGCAAGGAGTCGGCCTCTCCCTCTCCCTCTGCACCTCCCCCTGCTGATGCTGTCTCTTTCTCTCTCTCAAATAAATAAAAACTTAAAGAGAGAGAGAGAGATCAGGCAGATATGGCTTAGTGATTGCCTGGACATTGGGAGTGAAGGCAGGTGTCCAGACAACGCCACCCGATGGATACTGATGCCATTAACTGTGATGGAGAAGGCGGGAAGGGGCAGGTTAGGGAGGTGAGATGGAGAGGTGTGTGTGTGTGTGGCATGAGGTGAGGTCCACGATGTGGGTACCATTGGATATACTCATTCTGTCTCGCAGCCATGGCTGACGGCCTTCAAGTCACGGTGCTCGACAAGAAGAAGGTGGCCATGCTCTTTCAGCCTACCGTGCTCCGCTGCCACTTCTCCACGTCCTCCCGACAGCCTGCCGTCGTGCAGTGGAAGTTCAAATCCTATTGCCAGGATCGCATGGGGGAGTCCTTGGGCATGTCCTCTACCCGGGCCCAGTCTCTCAGCAAAAGAAACCTGGAATGGGACCCCTACTTGGATTGCTTAGACAGCAGGAGGACTGTCCGCGTGGTAGCTTCAAAACAGGGCTCGACCGTCACCCTGGGAGATTTCTACAGGGGCAGAGAGATCACGATCGTGCATGGTAATGACACCTCTGCTTTGAATCCCGGAATAGAAGGGAGATGAGTTCTGTTGTCCCAAACACAGGGGGATGTCAGCCTCTCCGCCTTGCAACCCCTCAAGATTTTGATTTTATGGGATGTGGAAGCATCAAGAAGCCTAGCAGATGACTTAATGTGACAGCGGGGTGGGGGGGAGGGTGGGAAGGGTGTAATATCTAGAACAGACACTGAGATGAGCTTTGGAAATGGTCTTTCTCAAACCTGACCTCTAGTCTGAGGATCTTGCTATCAGAACTGAATTGAAAGAGGTTCTCGTCAAAGAATGTTCTCAAATACACTTTGACATCAGCCTTTATGGCCCTTTCCCAAAGTCAGAGAGCAGACTTCCCTAAGAAGTTCCTCTGCTGGGAGAAGGGATGTACGTATACACCGTCCAGAGCCAGGTAGATGCCTCGGCCTGAGCCCCGTGTGGTTCTGTATCACTTCTACCCTTTCTTCTGCTCCCTAAAGTATTGGACAAGAAAAGGGCCTACGAGGCTGACCTGATCTATTTGATCATTTGAATTTCAAAGAACTCCTGTGAAGCCATCTCATTTCCAGGAGTCCAAAGTAATTCTGGAATGACCTGGCTTTCAAGGACTTCTGCAGACCTGGTTAGTTGAAAGCAGTCTTCTATTCCCAAAACTGGACTAGAACTAGACCAGTTTCTGGGAACGCCCTAAGTCTTTCACCTTAGGGATGCTAGTATTTGCTATCGGGTTTTTATCTGTTTGTTTATTTGTTCATTGGAAGTAAAGCAGACATCTTGTCAACCACCATTTAGGCAGTGAAGTAGAACACGGCAGACATTCCTTCTGGAACAGCCCCCTCTCACCCTCCATTGTCCAGTGCTTTCCTTTCAGGGAGACATTTTAGGAATTGGACCTTCTTTTTATGGTAACAGATGCAGATCTTCAAATTGGAAAACTCATGTGGGGAGACAGCGGACTCTATTACTGTATCATCACCACCCCCGATGACCTGGAGGGCAAAAACGAGGACTTGGCCGAGCTGCTGGTGTTGGGTAAGTGAAAGCCATCGGCAGCTTGGCCGTCTTAGACCCCTCGCGCTGCTCCCTCCGCTCACTGTTCCCCGCGTGACCCAGCGGCGTGCATACACCGGGCTTTATTTCTTGTGCACAAACGGGCTTTAGAAACTCCTCATGAGCAATAGCCATATTTATTGCACCTGGTTTCTTGGAGGCCCTTTTTGGCACAGTCCTGATGTCTCTTCTGCTCTCTCAGGGTTGTTTTTCTCCCTCTTTTCCGCTTGTGTCCCCTTAACCCTGATTTCTCTCTGCTCTTAGGCTTTACTTCTCTTTTTGTGTGCTAAGTGTTGAAGAAAATGCCAGACGCCTTTGAAGCAGAGTAGAGACAACTGAGAGATAAGAATTCATTGCTGAGTGAGGAATCTCCCAAGATGTCAGGAATCTTTTTCCATTCAGTTACCTACATGTAAGACGGTCCCGAGGAAGGGTGGCTGTCAGCTGGAGGATTTAATCGTCAAACGTGCTTGATGGAAAGAACTATTGGAGAGTCTGCTAGGGTTTAGTTGGAAGGCAAATGCCTTGAAACCTAAAAGCTTCTGAGTCATTCTCAAAGCAAATAGATCTAATCTTTATTAATTTCTTTGTAAAGGAAAATTCATTATTTTTGGCCACGTGTCCTCTTTTGCAGATTGGAGAAGTGTCAGTGGGAAATGACTTCCGTGTATGGAACTGAAAATTGAGCACATATTTCATGTTCTATAGAACGTTGGTTGTACAACAAAATTAGAATAAAATATACAGAAATTAAGAAAAGAAACTGCATTAGTTGTAGGAGAAAGGTAAATGCTTGAGGCCATTTTTTAGATGAAATGACCTTTTTTTTTTTTTTTGTAGTTTCCAAGAAGCCAGGTGATAACAATTTGGAGGAATGTTTCTTTTAAAGGCAAATGAGGTTGAAGGTTACTTTTACCCTATGTGGGAAACTCAGGGCCCAGGGAGAAAGTGGAATTTGCTATTTAGGATTTTTAGTTTTACTCTATGATGACTGTGTGCCTTTAGCAAATCAAGTATTCTGCTGCCTTACTTTTATGGTTTATAAGATGTATTAAGGTAATTATTTATTAATAACTAACACTTTGATTAATAATAGTTAACCTTTATTAGAGGGCTGACTTAATTCAAATACATATTCCTTGGGTCTAACATGTGAAGCATAGCTGCCGTGATTTGTAAAAAATGGGAAGTAGGACAGACATACAAAAGGAGGTAAAAAAGTAAAAAGGCTTATACTGACATTGTGGAAGAATGCAGAGAAATCAGATTTGGGATCTGCAGTGACTCTGTAAATCAGAAGGGAATAAAAAGATAAATTTCTGCCCAATCACACAACTCTCATGGCCAAGTTTGAAGGAACAAGTGGCTCATTGAGCCTGCAATTAGCTAATTGTGGACACAATTATCTGGCCAGTGCAGACATTTGCAGAGGAGTAATTGCCTGTGCGGGGGAAAAGGATGCCAGGTAAAAACCACTTTAAATAATTTGTTCCCAATTCTGCAAATGTGGGAAAATGAATAGAGGGAGAGCCTTGTCCGCTGAGGATGTGCTGACATGCGGGAAGGGCATTCCCCTGGATCCAAACTTGTAGTCATTGGGGGAAGACACCATCCTTGGGGCAAAGAGAGGTGGGTGAAAGAAAGGCTCAGATGAAGACGGTCACCAACGATGGGAGAAGAGATGAAGAACAGAAACCACTGTCACTCTAAAAAGAATGGTAAAGGAAAACGGGGAGGGGGGGGCTGCAAATCAACTCATCACAGAAGAAGCATGTCTGTGAGATGAGGAGGTACATGCTAGCGTTCTTGGGGAGGAGAAACATCACTCCTCTGTGTTCCACATTAATTAGAAATGTTCGGAGCATGATATATTTGCCATGTGAACTTTTTAGGGCAACACTACTTGTGCTATTTATTTAAAGAAGTGAGTTTGAAATCAATGAAAATTTTTGGGACACAGGAAGGACTGTATTTACTTCCCAGATGCAAACTTCTGAGTCTTCTTTGTCTTGATAACCTTCGTAGAATGTTTCAAAATATCGTCACAGTTTTTAAAATTCTAACTGTTTGGTTGTTATATCCTACAGGCCCAATGGTTAGGTATTCCTTTCATGTGAGGCCAAAAGAGCAGCCTGATGTCTGAGGTCAACCTCAAGGAGATGAAGACCTCGGGGCACATAACTGAGTCAACAGTCTGCTAATTGCAACCTCCATGAGCCACTGCCTCGTCATTGAATATTACATCAGGAATGGTTAGAGGGGCTGGGAAGGTTTGATCTAGTGAAGGAGGACTTGGGAAGTATCTCCAGTTGAAATTGTACAGAAGAGGGCCTAGAAACTTACTCTGCCTGTGTGGCTGTGTAGAACTAGAACCAGGAGTACAGGTTATAAGGGGCAGGAGTCCATCTCAAAATGAAGAAATAACTTAACAATTGGAGCCAACTGAAGATGGAATAAGCCTTCCCAGGAGTAGTGACTTCTTTGTCCCAGGAGGGTGGAAAAAAATCTTGGGAGTTATTATAAATGAGACATTTCCATATAAGAAAAGGTGTTTAGCTTACTTCTGAGATCCATTTCAATTTCAGAATTTGGGGATTGAAAAGTTGAGGAACATAAGGGGTGTGACTACCTTGACAAACAAGAAAATGACCTCCCAGGACTTAAGTCCTCGTGACAGAGATAGAAGGGGTTACAGGTTGGTTACAAGAATGTACAGGGTGACATTGATTCACAAGGAAGCCAGAGAGAATAGACTATGGCCTTTTGCTGTAGGTCAGAGTTAAAAGGAATAATCCCACAAGGATGAAAAGAAACTGTTGATGGTGGCTGGAAGGAGCTGAGCGTAGCTCTTCTTGAAGATGATCACGAAGTGGGGAGCAGAAAACTGGTTGGAATTTCAGCTGGCCAATTAGTAAGGAAAGGCGAGTTAAAGGGATAAATTAGAGAAGAAGTTAAGAATTTATTTTTTTGCCATCATAGAAAGGTGAAGACGAAATGTTGACAGAACAAGATGGTGAAGTATCTTATAAGTCAGATTAAGAAATTTGGACTTTGTCCTGAAGACTATGGGGAGCCAGTACAGACTCACCAACAGAGGAATGAAGTGCGATCTCAGGGTCAAAACACTACTTAGCTGCAGGGTAGACCATGCAAAAGAATGCAAGAACAGAGGCCTGGGCTGTTAGGCTGCTGCAGCAGTGTGGGTGAAAGCCTGTGAGATTCTGAACCAGACCAGTGGCTTGAGAAGCGACAACACAGAAACATTTCAGAGACGGAAGGGATGGATCTTGGTGACTAATGTAAAAAAAAAACGAAATGAGAGAGAGGGATGAGTCAAAAGGACACCATGATTTCTAGCTAGCTGGGTAGCCAGCTGTTCCATCAACCAAGAGAGGATACAGGTTGGAAAGCAGGTTGGGGAGGCAGGATGACTTTGGTTCTTGACATGTTGAATATGGGAGGCGTGTGGGAACCCAAGGTAGGGATGTCCTGCTGACAACTGGAAATGGAGGTCTGGAACCCAGTGGAGAAGCAAGGATCAGACATAATAGATTTGAGAATCCTTAGTGGTACAGCCATGAAAGAATAGATGAGTCACCCAGGAAGTTTCTATAAAGTGGAAAGGGCCAAGGGCAGAACCTGTCAGTCTTATATCCTGGCTTGCTTCATGGGAGTGGTTTCCCGTGGTACTGCATCGGTACTTGTCTTGATTTCTCCCACAACACTGGAGGCTTCTCCATAGCACTGGACCACATGCTCTTCAGAGTAAAGGACTAATGCTCATTTGTCTTTACATCTGTAATGCCTGTTGAGCATAAAGAGGCCAGTGTGAATGTTTTTTAAAAAATGATAAATAGATAGCATCTATAACTAATATTTTATGCCCCTTAAATGTTGGCAAGTGCTAAATATATATTTGTTGACTTACAAAGGGTCAGTACCATAGATGTCTACAGTCTCAAGTGAGGTAACATGGTTTCATCTCACTGGGCTACAATTCTTTATCTGGCTCTTTCAATTATTACTGGTGGTAGGTCCATCCAGGACTGTGGTTGGAAGCAACAGAGTTGGTGGGTAACTTCACCCACCAGAGAAGGTGGCTAACTTCAGCAGGAAACTCAGTTGTTGGAAGGGTGTCATGATCGAAAGGAAGGCTGGACAATCGATCTCTGAAGAGGATAGTATGCTAAGGTAATGCTTGTTAGCTTTTGTAAAAACATCCCCCAAGTCTCAGTGACTTACTACATGTAGTAGAAATCTCTTACTTCCTCTCGTCCCAGTCAGATATGAGCTAGGAGGCTTATCTGGGTATTCTCTTCCAGGTGCTGGAGGAGGGGTCTAAACTTCTCCATTGTTTGGCTCAGCTGGCCCGCAGACATTTGCTCCCACCTGCTCAGAAAGAGAGAGTGAGAAACGTCATGTGGGACTTTTTAGGGACCAGGTCTGGCAGTGACATGGGTCACTTCTGCTGTTATTTTGTATTTCCCCAGGGAAAAAAAGTGAAGATGTTTTGATGAACACAGCACAGTCCTTGATGTGTCAGAGATCCTGTAGGGTCTATGTAGCAAGAATTAGTAAACAATGTCTTTAAGACTCCATAGCCAGAAAAAATCAATTTAACTGTTTTTTCTGGTTTTTTGGTTTTTTTTCTTCATTTTTCCACTCAAGTCAGACTCAGGTGAGTGAGTCAAGTTGGCCCAGTTTGGACATGCGTCCGCTGCTTAGCCTTGGGAGATCAAGGGCTCTTCGTGGCTAGTCCAAGATGTGGAGGAAAATCATCTCCCCAGAGTAAATTGGGGCACTCTTACCTAAAAAAAGGAAGAATGGATGTGAGAGGCAAAAAAAAAAAAAAAAAAAAAAAAAAAGAAGAAGGAAAAGGAAAAGCAATTAATGTCCTCCAAAGGGATACCATTACTATGTCTGCTATTCATAAAGTACACTGCTAATAAGTTGTAGTTCATAATTTTTTTCTGTAAGAACCA